ATCCGTGGTGACAACTCTGGTCCCACGCCCATTTCCAAAAGGGCCTCCTCCTGCGGGCTTGCGTTCTGAGTGCGCACGCGCGAAAGCAAGTCCTCTTCCGGGCAAAATGGCGATGGGCTTGATGTGCGGACGCCGGGAGCTTGTGCGCCTGCTACGGCCCCAGCGTCAGGTAAAGTTGTACCCAAACTGAGAGCCAGGATGCTGCCCTGCCCCCGCACCCTACGCCGGGGACAGGAGCAGCCGCTGACCTGGTTACCAGGATCTGAGTGTCATGACCTCGGGTTACGTCTCGGTCTCGGAGGGCTCGGTGGCCCCGTTATGTTGTCGGTTTCCAGGGACTACCTTACCCCGGGTCAAGTTCTCCGCAGCCTCGGGCCTGAACCCCGGAGTGGGTCTGCTGTAACTGAGGTCAGGAAACTCCGGCTTGAGCTCCACCCCATATGCCCCAGTTGCATGCCTTCAGGCCGGCAGTCTGCAAGAGCAGAGCAGCAATGTGCTCGCCTGGATGGCAAGCTGTCTGCTTCCTGAGGGGTGATCCTAGTGAATACCCTGTGGCCTCACGCTGGGCCTTCTGCTTCCAGCATAGATATTCCATTATTCTTTCATCTGATTAGTTCCACAGTATCGTAGGGTCCTCGCAGTGGCCGCGGAAACCGCTGAGAGAGGGGCTCCAGGTCCCAAGCCACCCGGGCTGCAGGCAGCCGCATTATGTCCTCCTCACAACCTCCAGCCACCGCTGCCTCAGTACCTCTGGCATTTCATTGGCAGAAGCCCAGGTAACGAGCCTTTGGTTCCTACTTCTTGGATAGTTTTGTTTTGTTTTGTTTGAGGGGCAAGAGGAATATGTAGCAGGGTTCTTTCCCACGTTTCACCCAGCTTCCCAAAATATTAGCATCTGCTTGGAATGGATTTTCAACTCAATGGGGAAATGATTGAAATACATCAGTGAGAGATTTATGTTATATTCAAGGTACTCTTTGCCAGAGTCATGCTAAGCTAATGATGGTATTATGAAACATGACTCCAGGTTTGTGTATTAGGAAAACTATAATTTGCTAATAAATACATGATTTCATGGATGCTGTTTCTTTTTTCTTTCTTTCTTATTATTTTTTTTTTTTAGAGAGAGAGAGAGAGAGAATAATGTTTATTTTTTTAGTTTTCGGCGGACACAATATCTTTATTTGTATGTGGTGCTGAGGATTGAACCCAGGCCGCATGCATGCCAGGCAAGCGCACTACCGCTTGAGCCACATCCTCAGCCCCGATGCTGTTTCTAAGAGGCGACCAAGTGGGGTTTTTGGTCATAAAAAGTGAATTGAAGGCAGGGGGTGTAGCTTAGTGGTAGATCACTTTCCTGCATGCAGGAGACCCTGGGTTCAGTCCCCAGCCCTGAAAAGAAAAACAGTTCAGTTAAAAAAAAAAAAAACTGATTTGATTTTAAAGATAAATTGTGTGATAGTTTATTTCAACATATGGGGGAAATTGTAATAGTGATAGATGATTGAAGTTCAGGAAACAGTGATTTTGAGAAGTGACTTCCCAGGATGAAAAGAAGTCATGAATTCTTACTTTAAATAATTTATCTTCCTGCCTAGTAGTAAAAAATATGTCCTTTTAAAGCATGAATTCTGTGGACATTGTAAGCCAACCTGGGAGAACAAGAAAAGGAGTCGAGAAAACAGAATCCAGTATTGATTATCATAGAGGACCTCACTTTCTGTGAGTCCTATTTAATGAATACACACATGGCTTCCTTTCACATAGGTCCAAGTACCTCCTGTTGTTCCTGCAACTCCTTCACCCACAGCAGTACCTGAGGTGGCTTCTGGAGGAACTACAGATACAATCCAAGCTGTTGCAGAACAGAGCTTCGCTGAACTGGGACTAGGGTCATACACCCCAGTGGGATTGATCCAGAACCTCCTGGAATTTATGCATGTTAACCTGGGCCTTCCTTGGTGGGGGGCCATTGCAGCATGTAAGAGAAATATATCCTGGACACGGGTAGAATGGGGACCTAGGGATAGAACCTTAAAGATGGCATTTCTGTGAGAGGATTAAGGAAATAGGTGCAGGAATATGAGAGTCAAACAGATAATTCAAGTGAATGGTACAGGTTCATGAAGCTTAGATGCACTCTATTTTTATTTCCTGAAGAGCATTATAAAGTGGCTTGATAATCTAAGATTAAAGAAGTATAGATATTTGAACATGAGCAGGGAGTTGAAGTAAGAGGGCCTTATTAACAGTGATGAAGCTACCCTGGTTTAAGAGAATAGTCTGATCATGTACTGAAACCCCCAAATTAGGAAGGTAACCACATTCCTCTTGTTAAGGTTTAAATTATGCTTTGAATTCTGTTTCTTTCTAACCTTGCTCCTTAAATTATCTCCTCTCTCCTGTGTCTTCAACTTACTTCTGAGTTCTGGACCCCTTGGGCATGAGTCACAGTATAGAAAAGGCTGAAATAAGAGAGACTTTTATCATTGAGGACTTAAAAAATCTTTAACCTAACTATAGAAATGCTTTAACTTCGTTTTAATTCTAGTTTGTGTTTTCCAGGTACAGTCCTTGCCCGCTGCCTCGTTTTTCCTCTCATCGTGAAGGGCCAGCGAGAGGCAGCCAAAATTCACAACCACTTGCCAGAGATCCAGAAGTTTTCCACTAGAATCAGAGAGGCCAAGTTGGCAGGAGACAATGCTGAGTGTGAGTCAGTTACAGTATAAATGTGAGAGGACCACATTTGCAGACATTCTCCTAGGGGAAAGAGACAACCTAAACCAGGAATTGCAACAACTGGGCAAATTCTAAAGATTTAGCTGTTTCTCAGGCCTAACACTTTCAGGGACTGTCCAAGGTTAATTAGAAATTTCATGGGCCAGGTATTCACCCTCACTGACATAACTGTTAGCCCAACCATTAATTGTGCCTCACCTCCCAGTTTACAGGGCCTCCTCGGAGATGACACTTTACCAGAAAAAGCACGATATTAAATTCTTTAAACCCCTCATTCTGCCTCTGACTCAGGTGAGCAAAAACATTTCCCTCCTTATTTCATCAAATGGCCTTCTCTGTATTTTCCATGCCCCAGACCTCCACAAAAGCAGTTGGTGGTGATATACATGGCTTTCAGTGATGGGGTACTGAAAATGTCCCCTCTTTTAAAGTTTGCTGACACTGCTTATCCTGTGTAATAGGCACCAGTCTTCATCTCCTTCTTCATTGCCTTGAGAGAGATGGCCAACCTTCCTGTGCCCAGTATGCAGACAGGTGGCCTCTGGTGGTTCCAGGATCTCACTGTATCTGATCCCATCTACATGTTACCGATAGTAGTCACTGCTACAATGTGGGGTGTCCTGGAGGTAAGCCCAAGTTAGCCAAGTACCAGGCCTGCAACATAAATTGGGAGTAGGGAGTAAAGTGGCTGGAAATTTCCCTGGAGAAATAGAGTCAGTGGGTAAGACCAGATTACTAAAACTGACATATGTTCAATACTCCTTTTCTCTGCTCTCTTGTTTTGTTTTTGGCAGCTAGGTGCTGACACAGGTGTGCAAAGTTCTGACCTTCAGTGGATGAGAAATGTTATCAGAGTGATGCCCCTGGCAGTCTTGCCCATAACCATCCACTTCCCCTCGGTAGGTAATGGCTTAGGAAATGACTCCAAGTCCTCCCATCTAGTCCAGCCACCAGGAATGCAGTCTCTGAGGACCTTCCCTTTATTCTCACCTAGGCAGTATTCATGTACTGGCTCTCCTCCAATATGTTTTCCCTGGGCCAAGTAGCCTGCCTCCGGATTCCAGCTGTACGCACTGTACTTAAAATACCCCAGCGTATTGTGCATGACCCTGACAAATTACCTCCCCGGGAAGGCTTCATAAAGAGCTTCAAACAAGGTAAGGACATGAAGAGGGGAAAGTGGTCTAAAAAAATGAGTATGGGACTAACAGTTGAGGTCCTCCTTACCCAGGCTGGAAGAATGCTGAAATTGCACATCAGCTCCGTGAGCGTGAACGACGCATGCAGAACCACTTGGAGCTAGCAGCCAGGGGTAAATAATCCTTTCAGGCTAAATTCTGCCTTTCATTTCTTATTTTTCTCTGCTCATTGAGATTTATTTCTCTTCCTCCAGGTCCCTTACGGCAGACCTTTACCCACAACCCTCTACTACAGCATGAAAAGAATCACCCTCCCAAAACCCCCAGCAGCAGCAGCAGCAGCAGCAGCAGCAGCAGCAAACCAAAGTCAAAGCAGCCCTGGCGTGACACACTTGGCTGACTTGTGTTCCCTGCTCATTCTGTCAGGAACTCTGTCTCCTCAAAGAACCATCCTAAAGACAGACTTGATGCTTTGTCCTTGTATCAGGCCTAGGAACTGTAGGATGTGGATATGTTCATTTTAAAAACTGATTCCACTACAAACTCTTATTCCTGCATATAAAAGTACAGGGGAGCCAAGCAATCTTCCTTTCCACAGGATTAGGAAACCTCTGTACTACATGCTGCTTCCTGATATTTTATTAAACAGAGAAATGGATTGTGTACTTCAGAGAAATGAATAGGTTGGGTCAAGATTGCTTTTGATAGCCCACGCTCTTGGGAAGTATCTGACCGTTTTTACCTGGCAGTAAGACCTTACACTTCTACCCTGTGTGTGTGTTCCAGCCACATTTGCATTGTGGTCATAGAGAAATGACCGATAAGATTGTATCTGAGAATTATAACCACATTCCTTGATAACCTATACAATTGCCATTTCCATCAAGAAATAGATTACTAGATTTTTAGTGAAAATTAAGAATGAAAGGTGATGTTTTTATGCAAAAACTTAACATCTTGCTACAACAGTTCTCTTGTTTGTGTAGAGGTTGTTTTTATCAGCTTCCAATAGCTGGCTTGAAAGGAAAGAAATTGTTTTGGGTCTGTCTATACTCTAGACAGAGTAACTTAGGCTAATGGGAGCTGTCTCAAAGACATTGTATAAAATGAAGCCATTCAAACTTTTAGGAACATAACCCTTTTATTATTGTTCAGCACCTGTGACCGTTTCATATCTCTCTAAAGGGAGACAAGGTTGGAGCATTGTTGGCCCTTTTAAAGGAAAAGAGAAGTAGGTAGTCACACCCAGAGGTGCTACTGGAACAACAGTGCCACACTACAGTCTGCTTTACCATCCATTTACAAAGTCTGGAACAATACGTAGCAAAACAAATAAATTATTTTGTCATCTCTAAAATGCAAGTTCAAAGGTTGAAGCTGCCTAGACCAGACTCCTGAATGTCGCCTCCAAAGAAGTGAGCTGTACTTCTCAGCTCCCTTGGCTTCAGCCCCTGCTTTTCACATCTCAGGATTCCAGGTAGTATTTAGTTAGATTTAGGATCTTGTTGCTTGGGTATTTCTGCATCTTCCAAATCCATTTCTGCAGCAACTGACATACACAGGACCTGGAGGTACCATGTGGCAGATGCTACAAAGAAACAAATTTGAGTTAAAAGTGGGAAGAGGTCAATTGGGTGAAGTTCAAGTAGCACTGAATGGGACTAGGCCCAAAGAGGGTAATTCAGTTAAGGCATATGGCTAATAACAGGGGGCTATGGCAAAGATGACTTGGGAGTCTAGATTTGCAAAAGAGGCCGAAACCTGGCTATCAGGAGCTGAGTGACCTAAGGACCCAAGGCTTACCCAAAGTTCTTCGGAGGCAAAGAGGTCGTTTGTCTTCTGGCACTCTGATAATAAGAAAGTAAAAGGGCAAGCCTGAGAGGGCAATGCCAATGCCGATGAGGGAGTTGATTGTATCACTGTAAAGTGGAACAGCCACCAGGAAGACGGTACAGAGGCAGAAGACAATGGGGAAGAAAATGCTGAGCTAGGGGCACAGAAGAAACTAGGAGTTAGCTCAAGATTCTTGACAACCAGTATAACCCCACTTCCCAAAAGACCAAAGCACTGAAGGGTTAGGGATAAAGCTCAGTAGTGGAACACTTGCCCAGCATGCCCAAGGCCCTGAGTTCAAGTCTCCAGCACTACACAGAGCAGTAAGCCTTCTTTCCATCATGTCAACACAAACTACCATCAAGTCCCAGGCAGAGGTTTCTAAGTGAACTGTCCTGTAAGAATTCTCTTTGCTGGGTGTGGTGGCACATTCCTATAATTCCAGCCACTTGAGAGGCTGCAGCAGGAGATAACGAGTTTGAGGCCAGCCTCAGCAACTTAGCAAGACCGTAAATCAAAAAAAAAAAAAAAAAAAAATTAAACAGACTGGGGATGTGGCTCAGTGGATAAGCATCCAGTTTAATCCCCAGTTTAAAAAAAAAAAAAAATCTGGGCATGGTGGTGCACACAACTTGGAAGCCTGCAGCAGGTGGATCACAAGTTGGGGAGGCCAGCCTGGGAGATTTAGCAAGATCGTGTCTCAAAATACAAAAAGGACCAGAGATGATAAAGTGCCTCTGGGTTCAATCCCCAAAGAAGGAAAGAAAAATGCTTCAGATAGAGCAGAGGTGGGTTGGAGATAAGTTACCTTGAGGGGACGAGGTCGATCAGGCTCCTTCCAGCGTAGATAGAGCTGACCCACAATAGAAAGTCCCACAAAGAACCAGTAGCTGAAGCTGTAGTAGTTAATGAGCTGGAAGATGTCCTCTACACACAAGTAGATCAGTGCCATGATACCCTATAAGTACAAGCCCAAATTAGCTCCAAAGTGCTTTTTCACCCCTGTTGGCTCTCTTCTTACCCCTTTAAGACTCAAGTTTTGTCCTTCACTCCTTTTCCATCAGAAGTTAATAGCCTCAACTGGATTTTCAGTTGTTTCTTCAAACTTCTGCCAAGTTAACCCTCTTTAAACGGGCTGGGGTGGTGGCTCAGTGGCAGAGTGCTCACCTAGCGTGTGTGAGGCACTAGGTTCGATTCTCAGCACCGTGTATAAATTAAATAAAGGTCCACTGACATCTAAAAAAATTTTTTTAAATAAATACATAAATAAAACACAAAACAATCCCTCAATCATTTCATAAGGCCCTCTCCATAATGACCAGCCTTCATTTCCAGCTCTTCTACTACTCAACTCCATACTGATTTACTGCAGGACTTTCTGATGCTATTTCTCTTACAAAACCTATCTCTACTATTTGCAATGCTAACCTTCAAAATCTATTTTAAAAACACTTCCTCCAAGTAGTCTTTTCAGTCACCCTCTATCCAGGGACCATTTCTTAAACACTACCTGTCATGGCAGTTAATCATTAAAATGTATTCCTTGTACTTTATGCCTTATCTAAGACTGGAGGTGGTTACCATTGCTAAGAGGAGTAAGATTCTCAGGAATCACTGCAGCAGTTGGTACAGCCTCGCCCATGATGGTAGTCCATCATTCCATCAATACTTTTTCTATCAGAGTCCCCTTTAAGACTTTCAGGAAGCTACAACACTCATATCTACTACTACTAAAACTTCCTGCACAATCTGGCTTTCAGTCTTCTTGGATCACTTACGTTGAAAAGCAGAGAAGGCACTGGCGTGAACCGCTCAACATGAATCATGCAGATGGCATCAGGGAGATGGCCTTCTCTGGAGCCCACAAAGAAAAGCCTATTTAGGTAAGTTAGAAGAGTGTGAAAAAACTGTGGGGCATGGGGAAACAACCTGGTTCACCTGCCACTGCCCTTCCTCTCTGCTATCCCTTTAAAAGGCTCAAATAATACAGAATAGAGTTCATTGTTGAGATTAATAAGAAGTTAAGGCTGCTGATGGGAAGAAGAAAGGTTGAGGAATGCAGGAGGTTAAAGTCCAAGTCCTGTAAGTTGTACAGTCTCCTGACCTAGCTCTTCATAATACGAACCCTCGTAGCAAAAGATGCCACTCTTACCGAGAAGCGGCCACAATGGAGGCATTGAGGCCACCAAAACAGGATAAGGCAACTGCCAGTGGGATTGTCCAGTTAAATATTCCAAAAATCTGGTCTGCAAAAGTCTAAGGGAAAGACATGGAAAATAGTCATTAGTAGGACGTAAAAGGAATGAAAGGCATCAATAGGCATGCTCCCAGGGATCCAACCCTTCTTCCACATTAAGGGTAACAGTTTCTTCTTACAAGCCCAGAATCCCAATGTACTCCTTTCAAAGCTCTCTCCTTTCCAGGACTGTGAAGAGCTGGGATATACCCCAAAACCCACAACAAACCCTCAACCTTCTGCTAGTAAAAATCTTTACCACGGCAACAGCATCACTGGCCAAGATGTCTCTCATATCTAGCACCGTGTAATAGGCCACATTGGTCAAGATGTAGATGATGGTGACAAGAGGCATGGAAATGCCAATGGAGAGGGGCAGATTCCTATAGTTAAACAAAAATAAAGTATACATCAGTCCCACAGGTTCATCCTTATCTCTTAATCCTAGACTTTACTGCCATACTCATCTTTCCAAAGATGGAGACTTCTGCTACATTTCCCCAGTGCCTCAGCATTTGAGGTTGCCTACAGTACTGGTTAAAGCTGTAAACTTGTAAGAACAAATAAGCTGTGTGTAGTAGTACACACCTGTAATTCTGTCTACTCAGGAGACTGAGGCAGGAGGACCACAAGTTTGAGGTCAGCCTGGACAACTTCTTATCTCAAAAGAAGAAAATGTTTAAAAAGAGGCGAGGAGGTAGCTCCATGATAGAGCACTTGCCTCACATATATGAGGCTCGGGTTCAATCTACAGTACTGGAAGGGAGGGAGGGAGAGAGGGAGGGAGTAAGGAAGGAAGGGGGTTAGGGGAAAGGAACATCATACCAGGAGAAACAGCTGTGCAAAAAAAAAAAAAAAAAAATCAGGGAAAGGAATTGACAAAGAACTAAGTCACAGCATGACAGCAGCACAGGAAGAGGGTAGTGATTTTATTTTTGCTTCCAAAGATGTTGGTGTCAGTATCCCTTCTCTAAGATTATCACCACAGGAAAGTTTAAATTAAGAAAAATATAAGAAGAAATGGAGGCAAATTGTGAAATCTAACATCTCCAAAGATTAAGATAGGCCTTCAGTAGGAAAAACAGAATGTATATCTGAGCAAGCAACCTGGGAAATAAATGATTTTTGATCTAAAAATATCCCCCAAGGACTCATGTGTTAGTGTTCAGAGGTGAAAAGACTGGATTAGGAGAGCTATAACCTCATCAGTGGATTAATCCATTTGATGCATTAATTATGTGAATGGACTACTAGGTGGTAATTATAGATCAGTAAGGCATGGCTGGAGAAAGTAGGTCTCTGGGGGTGTACCTCTGGGGACTATATCTTGTCCTTGACTCCTCTTACACACACACACACACACACACACACACACACTGCTTCCCAATTGAGCAGCTTTCTTCTACCATGAAATTCTGGTTCACCTCAGGCCCACAGCAAAGGAGTTGGCCAACCATGGACTGAACCTCTGAAACTGAGCCCAAAATACATTTTTCCTCCTCTAAACTGCTTCTATTAGGTATTTTGATCACAGCAACAAAAAGCTGACACACACCTTCATCAGTTTGAGAATGTCAGGTGCCATCCTCCCCAAGAGAAGCACAAAGACCTGTCAAGATTCCTCTAGCCAAAGAAGCCACGATCTTTATAAACATCCTTGACAGCTAGACTACCAAAAAGAGACAAGGGCAAAAACTCTTAAAGTCACTCAACTTCTGTCCAGTAGGTGGAAGCACCAACTAGGCCTCAATCCTGCTTCTAATAACTCTATTCCCAAAGTTGCAACTCCAGATGTATACCAAGATGGCTCTGTTTCTCAAAGCCAAAAGGAGTTTATTGGTATGAGAACTTTTATTCTTTTGAAAATTTACAGAAATCCACTCCCTGTCAAATCTTACTTCTCAGAATCATAATGTTTTAGAGCCAAGAAAGATCCTATAAGATCCCATAGATCCTATAATTTAACCCTCTTAATTACAGATAAAGAAGCATTCAAAGAAAAGGCACAGTCATTGGTTAGATGACTCTCTCAGGGTCATCTAACCAATCAGTGATAAGACAAACTCCAGACCCACTGACTCCCTGTCCAGTGCTCTTTCCACTTTGCTCAACTACAAAGCTATTTAGAGTAATGTTGGCAAGTGATATAGTTAAAAGACTGAAACAATACCTCACTGTTAGCATGAATTAGGGAAACAAGGAATGACCCAGAAAGGAAGCAAAGGAAGATTTCTGGACATCTATGGCCTAAAGTTATCTATGTAGGGATAAAAATGGATAAAAGATTTATCAAGGGAAAAAATTTATCCTTTTTGAGATGGTCTTGCTATGCTTCCCAGGCTGGTCACAAACTCCTAGGCTCAAGCAAACCTTCAGCCTCAGTCTCTTGAGTAGCTAAGACTATAGGCATGCACCACTCCATACCTGGTAAGAAAAATCTATTTTAAAAGCGTACACAAGCCAGGTGTGGTGGTGCATATCTATAATCCCATCATATCGGTAGACTGAGGCAGGGGGATTGCAAGTTCAAAGACAGCCTCAGCAAAAGTGAGGCACTAAGCAACTCAGTGAAACCCTGTCTCTAAATAAAATACAAAATAGGGCTGGGAATGTGGCCCAGTGGTTAATTGCCCCTGAATTTAATCCCCGTCCCCACCCCCACACCCCAAAAAATGTACATAAGTAATCCCAGTGGTTTGGGTAGGTGAGGCAAGAGAATCGCAGGTTCAAACTCAGACTCAGCAACTTAGTGAGGCCCTAAGCAACTTAGGGAGACCCTGTCTCAATTTTTTAAAAAGGCATAGGGCAGTGCTGGCTCAGTGGTTAAGTGCCCTTGAGTTCAATCGCTGGCACTAAAAATTAATAATAAAATAAAAGCATATACAAGCACATAGTATGATCTGCTTTAATTAATAGAGGAATAAATGAAAAATGTAAAAAAGCCCTTTAAAAAAGAATTTAGAGTTCTTCCGGGGACAGCATTTGGAGGCACTCAAAATGGTCCAGAGTTTGACATTCTATCGTAGGCTTTCCTACAATACAGCTTCTTATAAAACTAGGCTATCCTGAACCCCTGGCAATAGAATAATTTACACAGAGATGGTTGGGAAAGCACCAAAATCTGCATGTGCTATGTTCCCAGGCATACTTCAAGGGGTTTCTGCTGTGAGACCTAAAGTTCTTTTTTTTTTTTTTTTTCTTTTTGGTACCAGGGATTGAACTCAGGGGCGCTTAACCACTGAGCTACATCTGCAGCCCATTTTTTGTATTTTATTTAGAGATAGGATCTCACTGAGTTGCTTTGGGCCTTGCTAAATTCCTGAGGCTAGCTTTGAACTAGCAATCCTTCTGCATCAGTCTCCTGAGCCTCTAGGATAACAGGTGTCGTGCCACCGCACCCAGCAAGACCTAAAGTTCTTATGAGATGTCTAAAACAAAACAAAAAAAATAACGTGTCAAACCGAGCATGGTGGCATATACCTGTAATCCCAGCAGCTTGGGAGGCTGAGACAGGAGGATTGTGAATCCAAAGACAGCCCCAAGCAATGGCCAGGCACTAAGCAACTCAGTGAGATCCTGTCTCTAAATAAAATAGAAAACAGGGCTAGGGATGTGACCAAGTGGTTGAGTGCCTCTGAGTACAATCCCCAGTGCTCCCCCCACAAAAAAAAAAAAAAAGGACAGAGAAAAAAATCATGTCACCAGGGCCTATGGTGGTTCCATATGTGCTAAATGTGTCTGTGACAGGATCAAGTGTGCTTTCCTTATTAAGGAACAGAAAATCATGAAAGTGTTGAAGGCACAAGCACAGAGTCAGAAAGCTAAATTTAAAAAACGAAGCTTCTTTGAATAATAAAAAAAGAATTTAAAAGCATACTTGAGTTCATATCTTAGCTCTGTTAGTGGGATCATGGACAAGTTATATTCTGGGGCCTCTGACCTCCCATCTATTAAATTAGGGTTGATGGAATTCACTCAGAGGCAGTTATGACATACAGTCTTGCATAGTAAGAGCTCAATGAATAATGGGTATCACTGTTGTGGAAAGTTGGTGGTGAGGTACCTACCTCTCAGGATTCTTGAGCTCTTCAGTGACATAGTTGAGGGTATCCCAGCCTGAGTAGGAGAACAGAGCTGAGTACAGTGCCAGGGCAATGTCACCCATTACAAATGATGAACCCTCAAAGGAATTCTCCAAGTTAGTCGTGGCTCCTAGAATCCAAGAACAATGGAAAACAGAAGTATTAGTGGCCCACTCCCCTAATGTCAAGATGATCCAATAAAGTAGTGGAAAAATATGGCAGTAAGAGCAGGTAAGTGACTCAGAACATCTTTGGCAGCAACGGCATCAGTGAAGGACAAGGAACAGAAGACAGACATCTATAAAGATGATGGAATGCAGAGAATGACATGGATGGGGATCTTGACAAAAGAGCTCGGCTTTCTAGGATAAGAAACCAGAATGTAGAAGAAGGGGTAGAGAACAGGAATGGTGTCCTGTTTCTCTCTGCTCTATAGTCTGCCTGATTCTTATCCCCTTTCTGACACCAGACACAGCTGACATGAGATAGAAGGACAGGGCTCCATCTGCCCAAGTTAACAGACTAGTTGTAGGGTGGGTTTCTACCTGGAAACTAGAGAAGTGGATATAAGAAGTTCATTGTTGACTTTGCCCACTTTCAAGGGCAGAATCATCAAATCAACAGCACTAGGTTCAAAAACCACAAAAGCCAACTCCCAGAGTATGGCTGTCAGTCCTTTTGCCAAGATCAGCCTCATCTAGGCGTGGTGGCATATGCCTATAAAATAAACATGTCAGCAGGTCCTATGGTGGTTCCATATGTGCTAGAACTAGCATGCATAGAACTTAAAGAACAGGCTTTGGAGTTCGCTGCCTGGGTACATATTTTAGCTCTCCTACTTACCACTACGAACTTGGGCAAATTCTTATAGCATATTTCTTCATCTATAAAAAGGGAATAATAACAGTGCCTACCAAACAAGGTTATTGGAGATTTAAGTGAGATAATATACAAAGTGTATATTAAGAAGAGTATGTCTCATAGAAAATACTTAACAAATATTAACTGCTATTATTTCTTACCCTGGCCAAGTTTAACAATGCCTGCAATGATGACCGCAATCAGTGCTGATACTTTAGCATAGGTGAAAATATCTTGTACCAGGGTTCCCCACTTGACATAGGCACAGTTAACGAAGGTTAAGAGACCTGAAAGAAAAATAATACTGATTGGTGACTAACCCTTCACACCCAGACTCCTAAGCAATTTTTCTAGTAATAGTTACTAAGAAGGCCCGTTTCACAAAGAAAGTATATGTGTTTAGGCTTTTACTTGCTTTGCATAAGAAACTTCGGTCCCAGAATGTCCTTACTATTATCATTCAAAGACATCTGCTGAGCACCTGTGTACACAGCACCACCATGATCCCTACCCCAGCACCTTATACAGGAGACAGAAACAAAGTAATCTCAGATTTGCTTCATACAAAAGTATACCCAGGGGCCGGGGTTGTGGCTCAACTTGCCTAGCATGAGTGAGGCACTGGGTTCGATCCCCAGCACCACATAAAAATAACAACAAATAAAATAAGGTTAAAAAAAAAAAAAGTACACCCAAACTGGATGCAGTGGGAGACAACTGGTAGCTATACAGGATTAGTGTGTTCTGGCTGTTGGCTCTGAGAAGTCACTGTCTCTCCCTCCTACCCACCCTGCCACACACACACACATAGGCTTTAGGACCCAGCACTTTGTCTCATTAGTATTACTGTTAACCTTGCTCAGTCCTGTTATGACTTCATTGTCTGGGCCAGCAGGTCAGAATGTGTGGCCAAGGATTGGGAGGGAGGCCAGACTTCCTGCCCACTGCCTGCCAGATCAGCTGCTTGTTTTTGTGCCTGAAAATATTCTTGCAGCAAAGAGCGATTCCTATAGAATGGGGATAGAGCATTTTTCCTAATGGACAATGCAAAAGTAAGAGCTATAACATTCCTCATAATCCGTCTATCCTGAGGTAGAGGTAATTACTTTACCCAGATAAGCTTGGGTAAAGTTTACGCATTATTCTTAAAGAGCCAAGTTTCTGAACTGGTCTCCAAAGACCTAAGATTATTTTGCAAAGTGTCATGTTTGTATGAGTATATACATTTTTATAGGAAAAGAGCCCATAGCTTTTATCAGAATCTCAGAGAAGATACAGCGGTTGTGTCTCAGTGGCAGCACGTGTGCTTAGCATGCACAAGGCTGTGGGTTCAATCCACAGCACCAATAATAATAATAACAATAATCTTAGAGAAATCTATTAACCTCCCCACTCCCCACCCCCACCCCCCAAAAAAAAAAGTTAAGAAGGGAAGCCCACATATGCTATGAAGTTGGCCACTAACCTCAGGATGTAGTGGGGAAGAAAGTTAGAACAACTCTAAGGCTTATCACAATGTCCCTTAGATCCCTTGCCAGCCTCTTAGGAAAGCAGACATACCTTCCCCTTGGTGACACCATGAATCCCTTCACAACTCAGCGACTGGAACACCATAGGAGTATTTAATCTTAAAGCCCTCTCCCAAAGGCTCCAGGGGTAAGGCCAGCCTTGCCCTGCCAGTGCAGAGAGGGAGGCCCAGTGATGGAACTCATCTACTTCAGGCCACCACAGTCAGAAACCACTTCCTGTCTGAGTTCTCCTGGCAGTTCATGGTCCTCAGTGTCCCCAGTTCTGTTCTGTTATATCCTGGCCTCATACATTCTGGCCCAGAAGCTCCTTCATTCTGAGAAGCAGGAAAGACTGACCTCTCAGAAAAGCTATCCATCTTTCTCTCACCCTCTCTTTCATCTTCATTTTACTTACTGCCCTGTTTTCTACTCTTCTTGAGAGGGGCATTCCTATATAATTCAAACACTTGCCTTTCTGCCTCATAAACAAGATAATAAAGAACCAAATCTTATCACAGGGCTGGACAAAAATGCACCCATCACTCCAGGCCACCCCAGTGCTGAGTTAATAATTAAAGACACAAATGAACAGTCTCCACAGGCATCCCACAAAAATGACCAAAGTGCCTGTATCTTGCCCTGCACAAAACTGCCTAATCTGTTGATCCTCCTCAGTCAGTCATCCACCCCTTACTACCCTCCAGACTTCCACTGCCATCCATTCAGCAGCCCTTGTGCTCTTTTTCTCATCCTGTAATCTCTCTACCCATTTCCTTCAGGCTCTGTTTATAAACACAACACAAACAAGGTTCCCATTAGAAACACCAAGCACAAGTAATGCTACCATAAGCTCAGGGGAATAGGATACTCTAACACAAATTCCTGGTTAGCCTGCAGAGTAACCCAGGGTCATAACTCCCAACTGGAATAATAATAATAATAAGAGACTAGTTTATAGACCACAGTCTGAGTCTGCAGCTGTGTACCATAAAGGTTCCCTTCTCAGCTCTGTCCAGGGATACAAGCAGGAAAAAGTAGGGACATCCAAAAATTCACCAGCCTTTACTACAAAAACTTCTGCAATGAAAATATATGAATTGCTTATATTTTGGTCCCTATTGCTTCTTCTTCTTTTTTTTTTTTAATGGTAGTCGAACACAACATTTTTATTTTATTTATTTATTCTTATGTGGTGCTGAGGATTGAACCCAGGGCCTCAAACATGCTAGGGAAGCACTTTACCACTGAGCCACAACCCCAGCCTCTACTGCTTCTTTATTTCTATACTTATCCATTTATCCTCTTAACTCCAGTAGTGCCCCTCCCCCACTCCTGAGTTTCATTTCTCAGCCAGGCACCCACCATCTTGTCCTGATCTGCTCTATGCATTGAGCACAAGGGATCCATTTGACTGGGGGAAAGAGTTCTATGGAAATAAACCCATGGGTGCTGAGGATATAGGCTCAGAGCACTTGCCTAGCATGCTCAAGGCCCTGGGTTGGATCCCCAGCACCACAGAAACAAATAAAAAAGAAGCCAGGAACAGAGGGAACTGCCTGAAGAGAGCTATCCTCACCTCCCCAGAGCCCTGCTTCCTCCTGGCCCTGGGAGCAGGAAATGCATATGGCAGACAGTAGTGCTGACTAGGCTCTTTGTCCCCTGCCTCAGGATACAGCTGACCAGAGGCCCCAGAGCCCAGCTAAGTATACTGGTCTTAAAGTGGAACCCAACCTCCTGCTTCTATCAGAGACGGGAGGGGACCATGGGTTTAGATTAATGCAGAGGCAACTGCACTCTAACCTCTAGAATGCAGATGCCCTACTCTTCTACCTCTAGGCATAATTCAGTCCTTACCCAACACTTGGCCAAGTCCACAGAAGAATGGCCTAAAATGACCTTAAACCCTTAACCCAGGTACAGCTCCATTCCTGCTTTAACCCCAGGGGAAATAAAAAGACGCAAAGATGTCACTCCTATAACATCTAGAGGTGCTTCTAAATGGATCATCAAACCCAGCCTACACAGAATCTAGTTCTTCCACTAGGGCCCAGTGTGAGCTCTAGACTTAAATCCAGAAATCATCAGACAGGTTGATCTAGAAAGGAACAATGCTTGAAGACCCACCCTGGATCCATGCCTAGATTTAGTTTAGATACTCAAACTAAATAGTCCCTGGAAAAAGACATTAAACCCACAATACTCCCAGCACCATTAACTTTAAATACATATCAATGAAACACACAACTTAGGCTGCTATTTTATCCCATTTTCTGCCTTAAATTCCCAGGAACTATAAAATGTCAATACTTTATTAGATATTCATTCCATTTTTAAGGAAATCTATAGCTCTTCATCCCACTAAGCCAAATTCTCTGGGGCTACACAGGATCAAGCTAAACCCTCTTGTACACGATGGCCCTTCTTAGCATTGAAGATTAATATCCTGTGCACCTTGCCCTTCTTTAGGCTAAAAACCCAGTATCTTCAACACCTTGTGGGGCAAATATGGCTTCAAGACCACTAACCATCCCAGGACTCTCCTCTGCATTTACTTCACTGTCAGGGTCTTCCTGGAAACTCAAGACCCCATACAGAGAACTCCAGACATTGTTGCATACTGCAGTGTCACGTCAGAATTCATTAACTACTTGTTTTTCCCCACCTCACATTAATGAGTTATTTTCCGACTTCCTTTCTGAAATTGTAAAACATTTTTTAAAATACTTTATTAGTTGTTGATGGACTTTTATTTACTTATGTGTGGTGCTGAGAATCGAACCCAGTGTCTCACACATGCTAGGCACGCACTCTACCACTGAGCCACAACTCCAGCCCCAAAAGCAATTTTTTAAATCCCAGATATAGAACTTTATATTTATCCTTAGTAACTTAGTACTAAGTAACTCCTCTGTGAGTCTTTATGCATCATCCTCACCAATTGCAAATAGGTTTTTCCCCCTTTATATTATTATTAGTTCAAACTGCCCCCCACTTTTTGTGCAATATTGGGGAATGAACCCCAGGCCTTGTGCATGCTAGTCAAGAACTCCCCACTGAGCCACATCCCCAGTCCTCGGTTTTTCAGGTGGGGAAGGTACTGGGCATTGAACCCAGAAGTGCTCTACCATTGAACTGCACTCCTAGCCCTTTATCTCTTTTTTAAACTTTATTTTGAGACAGGGTCTCTCTAAGTAGTCCAGGCAAGCCTCAATTCACAATCCTCCTGCCTCAGCCTCCTGAGTAGCTGGATTATAGGAGCACACCATTGCACCCAGCTTCAGATCCCTTCAATTCTGTGAAATCTGTAAGTTCAATTATCATATCTTCTGAGTATTCACAGAAATTATTGTAAAAATATTGGTTGGGATCACCAGAGCCCTAAAGTCTATCACTACAGAACTTCCTCTGTGTTGTCATTCCACATCCTTGAACCAAGAATTTTATCTAGTCTACCTTTTTATGTCTTGTCATAAAGAATATCATGAGTTTTCCAAGAAGCTCTCTGAAATGTGTATATACATGTCTCTGCTCTAACAATCTCATGATGCTATCAAATGATTCAGTGCAATTAATATAATATTATGCACATCATAGCAACACCCTTGTAATAGCCAAAAATGGAAACAAAGCCAGGTGTGGTGGTGCATGCCTGTAATCCTAGCAGCTCGGGAGGCTGAGGCAGGAGAATTGTGAGTTCAAAGCCAGTCTCAGCAAAAGCGAGGCACTAAGCAACTCAGTAGGACTGGGGATGTGGCTCAGTGGTTGAGTGTCACTGAGTT